CCCCGGGATGCGGGGCAGCAGCAGCGGCAGGCGGGCGACCCGGGCGTTCACTTGGGGGCTACTCACGGGCTTGGGCATCTCAGGGGGTTTTTTCTTCTCAGACTGAGGCAGGACAGAAGGCTTGGAGCCACTCTCCTTCTTGTTCTGTGGGCACAGGGGTGATGGCAGGGGTTACCTGGACTCCATCCTGCCCAGGCTGGGCTGCTCCCACTGCCTTCCCTGATTGTACTTAAAAGATCAAATCCCCCCACCCCAGAACAGGGCTCTGCAGGCGGTGGAGCCGCATCTCACCTGGCCCTGGCTCCTGTCGCTGCTCTCCAACGTTTCCAGGCTGTTCTTCCTCGCTGTCAGCGGAGACTGACCATCACGGCGGATCTTCTCTGTGCCTTCTGGGAAAGCACACATGGTGGCCATGGAGACCAGCCCTCCCTGAGCCCCTCCATGCTCAACACAACAGGGAACACAGAAAGTCAGCCCTCTGTGTGCAGCTCACAGGGGACATCATGTCCCTTCTGGCATCAGCCCAGTCCTCCTGCAGCCCGCAACCCTCCAAGTTCCTGCGGAAGGCCAAGTAGGCTGTGCAGCGAGTGAACACAATTTAGGAGCTCTCCGGGCCCTCCCTTGTCACATCCTGTGGGGCCTGCGGCTCCAACCCAGCCCAGTGACCTACCTGAGACCGCCATGGCCATGATGAGGTCGGCACCGGCTGAGCGGGCGCTGATTATGTGCTGCTGGATAAGGAACTGTGCTACTTCCACTATGTTGTTGAACGAGCGTTTGAGGATCTTCTCAGCCCAGTCGCAGGTCAGGGCACAGGCTGCCTCCATCACCTCACTGTTGTAGGACTGCACCAGGTCCGTCAGCTCTGACTGCTGCTGGCAGGACAAGCTGTGAGCACTTGTGCCACCTGTTGGGACTCCCTGGATGCCAACAGGGCCTGATTGTGCTGTCCCCAGCAAGTCACAAGCCTGTGCATCTCAGTGACACAAGTCCCCATCGGCAGACACATCCCCTTTCCACTTTGGAAAGCTAATGGGACAGCGCACAACCTGCTCCCAGGCTCGCTAGGCCCCCAAGAGCACCAATGGAGGATTCCCCATCACCAACCATGGCCGTCGTTAGATATAACGAGCAAGCAGGTGTAACTCAAGCGACCAAGGCACCAGAGTACTTACAGTCTCTGTCACTTTGAGATCCAGACTAGGCAGGGGAGGCAGGCTCACCACTGTCTTCCTCCGGATCCCGCTGTAGCAGTATGTTAGGCAGGGTTAAGGTGTCTCACTGCCACGCAAATACGGCCAGCACCCTCTAGCTTCAGGCTAACATTTGAAGGGATGCAGCTGCCAGGCTCTCACCACTGCCACCTGCTGCCGCCTGGACTCATCTTTGCAACAGTGAGAGCAGCCTGTCACAAGCCAATCTGGGCTGTTCCCTGTTTGTTGCATTTCCTGGTACCCGTAAGCTAAGCCCATGTCCTTTCCATGCATCCTGCAGCTCGAGATCTCCCTCAGACAACCAAGCAGGAATTCAGGAGCTGAAAAAGCAGGAGCTGACAAGAACTCCAGACACAGACTTAGATCAAGCAGTTCTCGCCTGCCCATCCAACTGCCATGGGGACCAGCTCCAGGGCTTCCCAAGCCAGCAGTGCGTGTGGAAGGATATTTTGATTGCCCTCGGCCTCCCAGTCTTCTGGCTTTGATGTTTGGGAAGATCTCCCGGATGATCTTCCCAAAATTGGCAGCGCTGAGAGGGCGACAGCAGAGGTTATCGCAATATTGCCTGCCAGAGAGCCAAAGCCAGAAAGAAAGCTGCAGATTCAAACTGTTAAGCCCTTCTCATTGCACTCCAGGTGCACTTTTTTCATACTGACATGGCTCATTTTAGATACCCAAGAGCAGGCAAAGCTTCCCAAACCAACCGAGGTGTCCCCGCCCAAGGAAGAGACACTCCTGCCCCTGCGCTCACTTGTAGGCATCGTAGACGTCCTGCTTGGGCAGGCAGGTGCCTGTGTGTTCCTCCAGGTGATTCCGGATCCAGTTGCAAGCATGCATGTGCTCAGCTGTGCTCAGCGAGCTCACATCCAGGCTACCACTGCTCCAGAGGAACCCAGCAATCCAAAAATACAAACATTTAGCAGAAGCAGGACAGATGATGAGTGCTGTGGCAGTCTTCACTCCTGGCCTCTTTCAATCCCAAGAGCTTCTGCTCTCCTGGCCCAGCTTGCACACACAGCCCTGTTTCACCCTGGCACCCACCTTTTCTCCCCCAGGGTTGGCCCAGGTGGCAGCTGGAGGTAGAGGTAGAGCTTGTCGTTGTCGGAGAATTTCTGCACATCTTGCTAGAGTCAAAGGGTTCACGTGGACAGGGAGAATGGACCAGAGAAAGAGAAAGATTAAAGATCCAAAAGAAGCAACATCTTCTTTCAACAGCATCATCCCTCTGGTCCCCACACAGGGCTGGAAAGTTAATGGCCAAGGGATTAGGTAAAAACCAACACCTAGGTTAACTGGAAGAGGGGTGGGAGTGTGTCAAGGGATTGCAGACAAGCCATTCCCTCCTCCTTGGCTGCAGAGGTACTCACCAGAATGGAGTCCACTTTGTTCTGCACGGATTTGCTGTATGGAACAGAGACAAAAGCCATTAACACAGAGAAGGACAATGCTCCAGTGCCTGGGACAGAGCCACGGGCAGTTTCTGAACCCGCCTGCTCTAGCCAAGCTCTGCTGCTACAGAACGGACCCAGTTTGGGGCTCTGTTCTGTTTTTACAGCACCTAGCACAAGATTTAGAGGTCTCGCCACTCTAATACTAATACAAGAAGCCGCAGGCACTGGACCACAGGTATCTTGTCGGTCCCTGAGACTGCAAATTAATCCACCTTATTACATGAGCCTGCATTTGTTAGTGCTCAATTAAGAACAGAAGATGCTCCAAGAAAGGCAAGCGCTGCCCTTACGAGATGGTGCTCCTGAGCTTCTGCAGCAGCATGCTGGACTCGCTTGGGTTGCTCCGGGAGCTGTCGGGCAACAAACTTCCCTTTGGGGTGGCTTGGGTGCTCGATTCTTCATCAGCCATGACATCTGGTTGCTGCTGGAGGATGGAAACCAAGAACTCAACGAAGGAGAGACAAACCCTCCAGAGATACAAACGTAGCAACAGGCCCTCATAGCACTGACCTCTGGCCACCTGCCCTCCCTGACCAGGCTCTGAGGCTTGAGCTTTGCTTGTCCTCAGTCCTGTCCCTTCTGCTCTGAGTGCCCAACGGCACCTGAAAGGGATGAAATCCCAGGAAGAGGGACATGGATGCTGGCAGGTATCACAGCTGGTCTCAGGGGTCTGGCACAGTCATGGCAGGGATACTAAGGAAGGGACCAGGACAGGTCCATGGCAACAGGGATGCTGGGGGCCACTGGGACACCAAGTGCCTCAAGTGGTAAGAGGATGAGGACACTGGGACATGAGGTCTCCACGGACAAGGGGACAGGGATGCTGGGGGACACTGGGACCCCTGGTTCCCACAAGTGCAGGGATGCTAGGGACAGCAAGTCCCCACGCACAGGGGGACAGGGACAATGGGGGACACTAGCACACCGGGTCCCCAGGTGCTTGGGGCACCTGGACAGCAGGTCCCCACAGGGACTGGAGGACACAGCAAGGAGATGGCACCGCCACATCAGATCATGGGGACAGGGACACTGGGGGCATCGGGACAGCAGGTCCAAGGGGGCCGGACACGCGGTGGATCCTCCCTCCCCCCCCCACTCGACCCGACCCGCACCACCCCGCCCTCATGCCAGGACGGTCCGGTCCGGTCCGGTTCGGTCTGGTGCCCAATACGTGCGGCTGCCCCGCGCGCAACAGGAACCGAAAGTGTTGTACCCTGCCGGGACGCGCCCATGGGCCCCTCTCGCCGCTCTCTCCCTTTTTCTTTTTCTGATTGGCTGCAGCAGAGCGGATCTGCCCGGATACTGCGCTCTTCTTTAATGTGATTGGTGACTGCTGGTTTTCCTACCCGGATACAAGCGGGGTTGGGCTTCTGAGTGGTCGGGCGCGAGTTGAACTCTGCCTAGTAACAGGCTTCTGATTGGTGGGGCTGAAAGAGGAAGCGCGAACGTGTGTGTGTGCGCGCAGTCAGCGCGCGCAGTGTGGATGCCCATAGCGTGTGTGCAGAGCGTGCACATGTATACAGCGTGTGTGCATGCACACAGCGGTGCATGCGCGTGTTCATGCAGCATATGTGCATGCAGCGAGTGCACACACTGTGCGTGCACGTGCATGCAGTGCGTACGCAATGTGCATGCGTGCAATGGGTGCAGCATTCAACAGGCGTGCAGTGCTTGTACATGCATGTGTCTTGTGCGCGTGCAGCACACTTGCAGTGCGTGTGGGTGCAGCACACGGCTAGCACCTCCATAGCCAGTGGCCAAGGTCAGGGCGGTTTCCAGGCCCTCAGCGCCTCTGCCATGGGTGTCTTGCAAGGAGCTGAGGAAGGTGGCATTGGAGGAAAGTGCCTTGGTGCCCTTTCTCCTGCCCCTTTCCTGCTACTTTTCCTAATCCCCCCCAGGGATTTTCCTTCTTTGGGAGCAAGGGACAACATGGCTCTTTTATTTTCAACCCGGAACCACTGCTGAGCGCATCTGCAACTGCAGTTCCTCTGGTTTGGGGACAGCAGTGCATTGCTGTGGCGCTGCTTCCTGCGGGATCCTCAGAGCCAGATGTCGGAGGTGCAGTCTCCGCCAGGATAGCGGATCTCGTGTGCGAGACAGGGACCCTCGGGCTCCTGCCCAAAATCCACCAGAAAGCTCTTGTTGACAGCCAGCCCCCCCCGCTCCGTGTCCACATCGAGCTGCAGCATGACAGAGCCCTCCCTGTGCAGAGATGACAACACGGATGCAATGGGAGGACTGGGAGCTGCGGGGATCCACCCACTGCAGAGCGGGTGGCCCAAAGGTGCCCCAGCTCCCCACGCCACCCCTACCTGATAAGCTCGGGGTAGAACTGCTTGTCCCAGGCGCTGTAGAGGGACGTGGTGACATAGAGCCTTTTGCCATCCAAGCTGAGCTGGATCATCTGTGGTCCCCCTGGCACCTTCTTGCCCTGGGAGGACACAGGAGGACAAGACATGCTGCAGACGTGTCATGGTCTGCCCAGTCTTCCTGGGGGACCTGGCACACCTAGATGTCCTCTCCTTGGTGTGTTGCCACCACCCAACGTATGGATGGGAGCTGGAGCCCTGCGGCTGCCCAGATGATGTTGGTCCAAATGGAGATGGGACCAAGTGGATGGCAAGGATGACAAGGATGCCACTGGAGGGACAATGGACTTCACCTTGATTATGAACGGCTCCGGCTGGCTCTGCAGCTCCTGGTCTTCGCACACAGACACGGGGCCACCTCTGCTGATGCTGCCGCCCACAAAGACCTGGAAGCAGAGCCCAAAGCCCCGGAGATGGCAGCGGGGTGACCATGCTCTCCGTCCAGCCCAGAGGAGCAGCGGTGGAGGCAGCCGAACACTGTCCTACCTGTCCCACCAGCCGTGGCTGGCGGGTGTTGGAGATATCGTACTGGCGGATGTCCCCATGCAGCCAGTTACTGAAGTAGAGAAACTTGTCGTCCAGTGAGATGAGGATGTCAGTGATGAAGCCTGCAGTGGGACATGGCAGAGTCACCAAGGGGACAAGCAAAGCGTGCATGGTAGGGACCGTGGGCATGCACTGACCTGGCATTTCCGGGAGAATCCAGCCCTCCACCTTCTTGCTGGGTACCTGGATCACCTTCTCTGCCGCCCAGTCCCCTCGCTGCAGGGGGCAGGAGATGGAGCTCAGGGCAGGCATGCAGCTGCTCACAGAAGCACCTGGCTCATGTCCCTGGGTGCCACCATCGCCCAGAACTGTCTTGACACCTTCTTGACTTTTGCAACCTGTGCTGCTCTCCCCTACGTCCCTGGCGAGCGCACCTGGGTCTTGTAGAAGCGGTGGATGGCGCTGCTGAGGGTGCAGCCCACGTAGCCCTCAGCTGCGTTGGGGTTGTGGAGGAAGCGGATTTCCAGTGGCGCTGCGTCCTCCCCGACATCGATGGCCTGGATGTAGTTGTGGGTACTCCAGTCCCATACGTTGAGGCGGCGGCCGTAGCGCTCTGCAAGGGTGACATGGTCAGGGGGGTGCGTGACGTGCAGGGTCTCATGCACCAGCAGAGCTGTCATAATTTGGGGCTTTGGCAAAAGCCACATGGAGGTGCCCAGGATCCAGCTGGGCTGGGATGGGCTATGTGGCTTTGATGGGGCTGCAGCCCACAGGGCTACGGCCAAAACGCAACCCCAAGCACAGCTCGATGGCAGCATTTATGGAGCATCTTGGGCTGAACTTCCGGAGTTTGCAACTAAGTGGAACTAGATGCTCTCTACGAACTGATGTGAAATTGGACAGTTTTATCTGCCACCTTTAGGTTTTCAGCTTTCACCAGCAACACAAAAGCAGCGGATTTAAGTTTGGCCTTACTGAGGCCAAACTTCAGCATCCTATTCAACATCTCATTTAGGAGTATTTAAACCAATGGTTTATTACCTTTCTTCAGATCATTTGGGTCAAACCCGTAGCCCAGGCACCTGGGGACTCCCCATTCAGTGCTTATCAGCACGTTATGGCGAGGCTGGTACCAGAAGTCATAACCCATCGGTGGCGTCTTATCTCCTCTCTCCCAATTCCCTTTGATCTCAAAAGTCTCTCCGTCCAGCAGGATAAAACCACCTGATGAAAAAACAAGGTAGGGAGGAAATGGCCCAGATTAGCAGTTTAAGTGCTGTGAAACAGAGTGACTCATTTCAGAGCAGTATGAAAATAAGATGGAGAGCAAGGTCATGGAGATGGGCAAGGTCTCCAGGAGCCGCTGGGTTGGGTGTTATTCCTGCCCCAGCATGCTCTCCTCGGGGATTACAGGAGGAAGATGATAAGAGGAAGAACACCTTTTCCATGGCCTGCTGGGTCCCCCAGGGTGCTGATCATGATCTCCCCGCTGCCCAAGCAGTGGGAGGTGTGCGGATAGCCCAGGTCGCACTTCCAGAAGACGTCCTCGGGGTTGATGACCTGCAGGGAAGTTCACATGCTCTGGCATGTTCTGGGCTGTGCCAGAAGAGCTCAACTACTGGCACATCAACAGGAGAGCAACCATCTTCCCCAGCCTTCAGAAGCTGCCACTTGGCCATCATCATCCTGCCGAATTTCGGACTCAGCCCAAAACCTCTTCACTGAGCTGTCACACACGCAGGCTAATGCCACATTCGAGGTACCTTGTGAAGCCTGGGGGCTCGCAGGTCAGTTCCCACGTCCACCACGTAGATACGGGAGGAGATGAGGCTGGGCAGGATCAGGCGGTTGCGTGCCTTGGTGCTGTCACCGAAGCAGCTGCTGCAGGCGTTCCAGCCTGAGTGGTGCAGCTCGTCGCCCACGTTGGGCATGGGCAGCCGGTGGATCACCTGCAAAGTCCGAGGTCTGGCTGCAGGAGGGAAGTGTTGCACTTTCCTCTGCACAGTGCTGGCTTGAAGGGCAAGCACTGAAATGTTTCTCTTTACTGATGTTCTGCCACCTGGCCAGGTCAGTTTAGCAGCGAGATAAGGGGGTTGGTACCTGGCAATAGTTCAGGGATTCAGGATTGACATCCACAGTGGCTAGAAAGTCTGGTTTCTTCCTCTCGGTGTTCCGGTAGATACAGGGCACATACACAATCTCCTCCCGGGGACCTGTCAACACATAAACTTTGTCAGAAAACATGTCCAGAAGGAAAGGAAGTATCACAGGAGTCACTGGCCAGGCCAGACCTCCCCACACTTGGAGGGGAGATGTGATGGAGGGATGAAGACACTTCCCTCCGTCATGTCTACACAGGTCCAGGAGAAAGCTTTAAAAATACATGAGAAAAACTAAGGTAAAGGCTTTCCAGCACTGAAAGCAAAGACAAAAAGTCCCAGTAACTCCAGGATGGTTGTAGCGAGCAATGCAAATCTACCATGAGGCAGTGGTGCAGGAGAACCCTGCATCAACCTGTCATTTCCAAAAAGCCGCCGCTGCAGTGTTGCACGTCCTGCTCCTGTTCGGGTGGTGGTACAAGGGGTGATTAGGATTGTGTGATGAAATAGTTTTGCTCCGAGCGCTGCCTAGCTCTCAAGCAAGGTCGTGGTTGTGTGTGGGATGAGGAAACACCAAGGCAGGAACAAGGATGGAAGAACTGGTCTCAGAAATGTTGAGGAGGCAACCTGGGACCTGCAGGTTTGATCTGAAGCAGACAGACATTTCATGGACATGTCAGGATTTTAGAGATAGGAATCATGGATCTGGATGTCCCAGGATGAACCTGAGACATTTGCAGGTGCAAAGATGTTCTGAGGGACCACAACAGGCTTGGCTTGGTGGAGGGCAGCTGGCTGCAAGAATGTGCTCGCAGCTGGCTCCAAACCATCTGAGCAGAGCAAGGACCTGCCTGAAGAACTGCTCTGAGAGGCAAAATATGTAAAAGGGAGCCAGCTGGGACATGCCTGGGACCTGGAACGTGTCTTCCCTAGAGCAAGGTAGCACCTGCGTGAGGTGCATCCTTGGTGAGTGGCACTTTTGCTCCCACTGCAGGGCCAAAAGGAGATGTCAGGGCAGGCTCAGCCCCAGGCAGAGGCTGTATGGGTAGAAAGTCTCTGAGAGCAGGAGTCACCTAATTGGGCCATAAGAGACTGGTGCCCAGGGAAGAAGGATGTCTCATCACACACGTTTGGGAATCATCCCCCTAAAGCTGCAGAGCTTTCTAAGGCTGGAGGCAAGTGCTGTGAGGGTCTGTTTGCTAAACCCCAGGGAGGAGAATTAAGGGATGGGTAGATGGAGACCAGGCAGTTATTGGTCCCTGGACGCTGGTGTTTTGGCAATACCACTGCCTGTGAGAAACTTAAATATTGGTTTTACACAGTGAAGCCACAAATAAGTCTTCTGTGAGTCATGACCCATCCCAAGCCATCCTGAAACTTAAAAGGATTTGCTCTGGCTCCAAACTGTCATTATGCAATTGATGTTCAACCCTTGGTAGATGCAGAGGAAAACCATTGCTTTCTTAACATTGCTGGGAGCCTCGCAGAGGTGGGGTTTTGATTTGATAACACCCTCTTGACAGTGTTATTTTAATCTTTGCTTGAACTGCAGACAGCTCAAGACTCTTCCCTGGGTTGCCCGGATTTCAGACTTACCTTTCATAGCATCCAAAGGGGAGGCGAAGCCCGGACCACATGCTCCACAATTTTCTGCATAGAGAACAAAACCAAGCAAAACATAAACAACACACAGTTATTTTAACGCCCATTTTGCAAAGGAGACAGCAGCTCTGGGTGCGTGGCTGGAGAAACCGCAAGGCCAGGTAGTGGCCCCCTCATCCCCATAGCTGCAGCGAGAGCAGAACATGTTCCTGGTCTGCGGAAAGGAGCCCCCCCATCCCAAAGGAAAGCACCTCGAGTGCATTTCCCACATCATAACATCTCCAGTCCTCTGCAAAAGAGGCAAAGCAAGTGATGGTTGGAGAAGATGGGTCCTTCCTGGACTTCCCTGATCTGATGAAGAACAGAGCTCAGACGCAGACAATCTTCAGGGTAGTGGTGCTACAGTCCAGGGCCATTAATGGAAAGCTTTTTAATGTAAGCTGAGCCTTGACTCCAGCCAGGTAATTCAGTGCACAAGGTCTCAGCTTCCCCACCAGCCCCTAACCCTGCCCAGGAGGTCCCTGAAGCCCTTAAGCCACCATCACAGGCTTGCGGGGGTCTTTGAAAACAGCACATTCAGATCCATTTTTGTTTTGCTTTTTACTTATGCTACCTAGGTGTCCCAGTAAGGCAACCACAAGCTCCAGCTCTAGAAGAGCTTAGGAAGAGCCCAGGACAGCACACGCGCGGCTCACTCCCAAGCCTTCCCCCCGTGGAGAACAAGTTGCTGATTTCTTACCCATGCTGGACATTGGGTTGGGTCTCAGGTGCTGCTGAGAAGTGGGAGGAGACGGTCCTGCCTGCATCGTGCCCGTTCAGAGCGAGTTGGAGGAGAAGATGCAGCTCCTCAGGGGCTCAAATATATAGGGAGCTGGATGGGGAGGAAAAAGGACGCCAAGGGGAGGGTCATGCTTGGGGATGTGGGAGGGACCAGGGCAGCTTTTTAGTTTCTTACAGCACTGAAACCAAGGAGAGAAGTTATTGCAGCGCTGTCAGAGCCTCCTCCCCACCCAGAGGGGCAGGAGCTGTGGCCGCACTGCAGAGCACAGACTTCCCAGCATGCGCTTTGGCCATGAGCAGGTTCTACTGCTTCTCTTAATTCCTTCCTAGAAGCCCAGTCCTGAGTTTCCCATGGAGCTGATGGACTGCCTCTGCTGGGAGATGGGCAAGCGCTTCCATTCCCAACCACAGAGATAATTTTATGAGGTTGCAGATGTTAATCACAAGCGAAAATGAAGAAACGAGGACTGGGTTGGTTTTAGCTACGTGATGACTGTTGGCTGTGGGATGTTAATCTGCTGGCTGGGAGGAGGGTAGAAGCAAAGTAACAGTTTGCCTGTGACACATCCTCTTAGTCAGAGTGTTGGCTGCTGCAATTTGCACGGGCCATGCGGGGGATGCTCGGCCTTTGCAGGCACGTCTCTGTGGGCAGGTTGCTGCTTTTGCCCTACTGAGTGCTCATCCCAGCTCAGAAACCAGTCAGCTCAAAGAGCGTGACCTGAAGATGGCCAGCAAACCCCACAATGGCGTTTACTCAACGCCTCCCTGCCCAGTGCTCACCTGCTTGGGCTCTTGTGTCTGTGTTCAGTGCCCAACATCGTGCCAAGGTCTATGGAATTCAGTTCACCACAGATGCACATGGCACAGGATCGTTATATCCCTCTGCGTCTCACCAAACCTCTGACCAGGAAAGGTTTCTTCTCCTGTGGACCCAAGAGAAAAAAAAAAAAAAAAAAAAAAACACAAAGGTCAAGGCAGGGCTAAACAAAAGCTTAGTTAGATCTGGACTTCATATGCACCTTCTGGTAATCCCCCACAGAGATGTCTCTACCGTAATTCAATCAAAATAGCTTTATTGGGGTTATTCCCCTTGGGGAAGAGGGATGAGGGCAGTGGTGTCTATCCCTGTAGTTTAAGGAAGTTGTTGAAAGCTGCAAAGGGACTAGAGGGAGACGCTCATCTTCCAAATAAACAATAAAAGGACCAGGAGAGGCAGCTCCTCTAACTCCTCTCATCTGGACTTCGCAGGCTGATGTAGGGACATCTGCTGTCCCTCCAGCCAACGAAGAGAAGGCAACAACCGCAGTGAGACAGGCGCCTTGTCGACATTTGAAGGAAGGGCAGATGAAGCTCTTTCCATGGTCACCTCAACAGCACGGACTTGTGCTGAGAAGCTCCCCAAACAAGGAAGTCAGAGAGCCCTGGAGGATCTTTGATCCTCTTTATAGCCTAATTTTTGCAACTACCAAACCAATTCTGGTTTTTGCCTGCAATGTCCCCTTGCAGAGAAGCTCAAGAGCAACAGGAC